CTCCTTTAAGCCCTTCTTATAGATGGGGGTGACATTAACCTTCTTCCAGTCTTCTGGGACATCCCCTGATCTGCATGACTTCTCAAAGATTTTGGAGAATGGCCTCTCAACAACATGTAAGAATTATAAATTTAGGCTTTTCTTCCACAGGTATTGGTACTGTATATAAATGTATTCCCTTTTTATGCCCTTGTCTTACTCAGTCTGCAAGAATGACATCTGTTCTGTAGAGTCTTTTGCCCCACCTGAATTTGCAGGGCTATTGAAAGTGTAATAAAATACTCTCTTGTATTCTGAAAAAAGCTTCAGGACTAGTTAGCTCGGAGCCAAGACCTTCCTTTTTGTGTTTGAGATGCTGTTCACACCCTGTCTCACAGTGACAGGAAGTTATTTATATTTACCAAAAGAGTAAATATAATATAAATTGTTTCTATGATTATTGTGGTGTTAGAACAATTTTTGTAAAAACATATTCATTAATAATTAGCCCTAAAATTGGCCTCTCAACTTTGGTCATTAAAGGGAAATAGGTCACTGGTTCCTAGCAGAAGAGATGCAATTTAAAATGAAGGACATTACCCAGAAGGACTTTGGTTTCTTCATCCACATTGCCTATGACAAACTCTTTCAGAGATAACATGGGCTGATAATATGATCTTGACATAACTCTTCTTCAGCATAGGTGGAGCTGATGGGGTAGGGCTCTTGTCATAATTTCAAATACTACTGGACTGAATATATGCTGCTCCCAATAACTTGGGTAGCAATTACTGGCCGTGTTAGTGAGTTCCCCCTTCTGTACTCTTCCACTAAGCAGAACAATGAAACAGTTGATTTTTCAGCTATGTCTCCATTCCCTAGTTCACTATATGATATTGGAATTATATCAGAGCTATTTCTGAGGAGTGGAGCTTAACACAGAATATTCAGGTTGGAAAGGCTGTAATTTATGGTAATGCCAAGGAGTGCAGATTTTCACACTGAGCTAGCACTAGCACTCTTAGTGTCGTCTCATCTAATACCAAAAGCGTGAAATAGCACCATGGGGCTCTTCAGCTGAGCACGGTGGCCAAGGGCACAGGTCTCCTCTGCTTTCAGTTATTCTGAAAAAGCTACTGCTCCCAATTGCACATCACAGCATCTTCACTGGAGGTTTTGGTCCCCCTGACCCATCAGAGCTCAGTGAGCTACTTAGATGACCATTCCTTAGTCTGGCTCAGTTCACAAGGGCAGGATTAACTAAAAGCCTTTAGATAATGTCTTTACTTAGTTCTTTCTAACATACGTAAGCTAGAGAGTAATTCCATGTGCAGAGCACCTGACAAATTTGAGGAGTCTCCAATAATGGGATAGTAACCTTTGGGTCAGAAGAGAAGGGGTGTGCAAGACCTTCTGTTGTTCTAGCTGACCGCTTAAGTTATTCTTCCCCCTATAAGCCCCACCTTCCATTTTGGTCACCCTGGAAGATAATTTGTCTTTGACCCGTGTGTTGCCATTAGCATTTCATCCCTCTGTGGCACTTTCCACCTTTTCATTTGTTTTTTTAATCTGTTTAAATTGTAAATTTCTTGGAAGAAGGTGTTCCTGTTTTCATGATGCCTAGCAAAACAAAGCCCCGATCTTGTTCAGGTTCTTCAGTTTCTGCTGAAATAATTAATGTGGTTTTGTGTGAGCTGTTGCAAAGTGCCTAGAGACTGCTAGATTTGCCTATGCAGTTGCCGTAGTGCACCTTGGCCAGATTGTTGTTTGTAAAGCAATTTTGTCTCTAATATAAAAGACACTGTATAAAATCAGTTCCTATTATCTTTTCATAGAGAATTTTCCGTCTGAATTGTAAGCTTAGAATTGCTGACTATCTCCTTAAACACTTCCAGATAATAATGATACATTTCTTCCAGCTAATATATATCATTACTTTTTATCAAGCAAGGCTTGGTTCATAGCTATAGAAATAATATGATTTACTGGCTTCTAGCCAATCAGTTAATTACCTGCTATAGTTACTTAAAGCACCTGGGGCTTTGGTTCATTCCAGTGTAGGTTATTAACTTCCTGGTAAAGGATCAGTACCTCATAAATAGTTTCTCTAAACAACTTCACTATGCTGCCGAAGTTGAATTTATTTTCTTGTATTATTTGTTCTTATAAATAAGAATAAATATGTGGGGCAAAGCCTTAAATTGCAGTTATATAAGGCAACTATTTTGATTTATCAAACAGTAGGTCCATATTGATGTGAACAGCATACAAGTGTCATAGACCTGTTACTTAGGCACCTTCAGGTCTTTGGGAGAATCTCAGTAGTTTTGCATGTACCGGACTGGTTGAAGACTGAGTTGTTTTGTAAAACTTAGTTTATTTTGGGGTTTTGGTCTTACTGTTTTAAAATAATAAGATCAGGCGAAGAGGTCTTAGGCCAGGTTTTCACCTGTGGTAAGTTCACTGAGATCATTTACAACAGTTAAGCCTCTGGCTGTCTTAGGGTAATTGAAACAGATAAGAGACTTTTTCACCTCTCTTTATCTCATCCCTTCTTTTTTTTTTTTTTTCCCCAGAAGTCATAAGCCACTTATTTGTTTAAAATGTGGGAGAACAGGTGTAAAACCCACTGTTTTCAGAAGGAAAAAGCTGGGTCTGTCTTTGGCCCGAGAACCATCCTTTAGGCAGGTTCTGTACATGAAGTTAGAAATAATTTTTCTGCAACGTTCTTATGGTTTTGGTTATAAAGAGTGTCTCAGCTGATGAGTTGCTTTTGTAGTTCAAGGGGAGAGAAAAGATTCTGTAATTACTTAGGTCCTAGGCCTTGCTTAGATGCCTTATATCTGCTAAATAAACTGGTGGCCTGGATGGTGAATTTAAGGACAGGTATTACATATTGTTCTTGCAATGGACCATTACTACCTTCTGTGTGAGCTGAACTCCCTTCGAGAAGTTCACAAATATGCCCAGGGGAAAGGAATTGCATTAATCCAGTTTCAGTTGTAACCTCAAGTGAAAGAAGTTAAAAGCTTCCAGTCAAACACAGCGGGCAAAAATGTTTTTCTTTTTGTCTTGTGATGTTTATATTCACCAGGGTGGGTGAGAACCTGCAAGAGCTGGAAGCAGAGAATCACCATGGTAGGTGGCTGGCCATCCATCCATAATTTAGAAATGACCTCAGCTAATAAGATTTGTCAGCATCAAAACCTGCTTGACCTTGGCATGTTAATATGGGTTTGGATAGTGGCTGGAAGGAGTGGGCAAAGTAGGATAAGGAGGCAGAGCAGAGCATGGTCTGTGCAAGAAGGCTGAGAAACGTGGTGCTTGCCGTATTGCTTTATTTATATTACTGTAATACTATGGACAAGAGAGAAGAGGAACCACTGGAGCAGGAGCAGTTCTAGGAGAGATATTGAGGAGTGCAGTGCTAGTTCTCCTGCCCTGCACATTCTGGCAGCCTGCAGGAAAGAAAGCTGCTGTACCCAAAGCTACCTATGATGAACTGGTAGCTTTTGTGCTGCCCTGCTTTCTTATTTTTTTCCAAAAACCTGAGCCAAGGTCACATGGTACTGGGTAGTGGATATACCCATACAGAAGATTCCCTGTTGCGGGAGTTCAGCAGCCAAATAAGAAAGAACGGTTTAAAGATGAGAGCTGATGCAGAGATTAACTTTGTTGTCCCAGTTTGTATAGGTTGGCTGTTGATGGCTAAGCTAGGGGAAGAGGTGGATTGCCCACCTAATGAGTGCCAAAAGGAAAAATGTAGGTTTCTATCACTGCTGAGAGGTGGTTCTGACTGAGAAATAAACACCAAAGTTTTTTTTTTTTTTTTTTTTTTTTTTTTTTTTCAAAAACTTGGGCAGGCTGTTCCTTTTCTTTGTCTCTCCTCTTTTTCTCTTCCCCTCCTCCACCTCCATCCTCGACTTTCAGCCCCCTCAGGTCTACCAGTTGATCTCTCTGCCCTGAGACCTGAAAGGAACGTTCTGCTCTAGTGAGGAAGTGGCAGCTTCTTTTATCTCGAGAGCTGCAGTTATCTGACTTGTGCATCTCAGAGCAAAACTGATAAAAACTGCTAAGATAAGACACTAATTTTCAATCTTTAATAGCTTATCATATTTTTAAAATCTTGTGAAAAAAACTGTGTGTTAGTTAAAAGATGATTAATAGGGATGCTTATGAATAAAATATACCAATTTGTGTCTGATTTTGTAATAATAGTCTTAGACTTTTCTATTTTCTCTGACTTAAGCCTGTATAAACAAAGGGATCACAAGCGAACTGCATGTCTGTGCTTGTTTGAAACAATCGGAATTAGTGGCACGTGCCCATTTCAGTCCCCAAGTTATGTGGAAGCACTGAAAATTGTTGTGGTTGTGTTCCTTTTGTACCAGGATAGTTCAAGATTTAAAGCCAAGACCTAACCCATCTTCTTTATATCAGATGATTCAAACAGTCTTTGGAACAGTATAGAAACTGTAGTAGAGTTATCGGTTTTGTGTCATAGGAGGGGAAAAAAAAGAGAAAACAAATATTGTCATGCCTAACTTTTTTTTTTCTTTTCTTTCTTTTTTTTTTTTTCCCCCGCAGTTTTTATTCACGTCATTATAGAGCCACCGCTGTGAACTTTTTGCCTGGGTGAGAAGACTGTTAGGTTTAAGGTTCAGACAAGCATATGCCCATACATGATGGATGGGCCCTTCTCAGGTTTTGAATACTTGTCCCCCACTCTGTAGTTTAAACTGACTGGGCAATAGGTTAGGATAGATAGAAATAAGCTATTCGGAGTGGCACAGTCAGATGAAGATTGGCACTAGTCTAATAAAACCAGTCCAAATGTCTGTTTAGAGAAACAAGGGAAGTAGTCAAGTGTAGGAAGGTAAAAGTTACATGAGAAACTCAAGTTTATTCCCTACGCTGCAATGAACAATTGAGTTTACACAGAAATGTCAGTAATGGACTAACTGGTTGTGTTTTTTTGTTTATAATGCCAATACATCAATGTTCTGTTTCTTCACTTGCAGCTGCACTGAGAGCTTGTGCTGATGGAGGTGCCAATCGTCTCTATCACGTCACAGAAGGAAGCCAGGACAGGTATGTTTAACAATAAACTTGAAGTCATTGAAGCCATCTCTTCTCAGTGAAAGTAAAATATGGAGGAACAGGATCTGGTCAGTTACTGAAGTAGCTGCCTGCTCTGTGCATGGTACTTTACTGAACTGTGACAGGTAGTATAATATTTTCTCCACATTATCTTTAATTTTTATTCCCAGCTACAATTTTCAAAACCACACAGATAGCCTGAAACACCTTTTGTCCTTAAGCCGATTGGTCTTTTTTGCTCTTTAAAGCTCTGCTCTCAGTCTGTCTTATTTTATGCATCTATCAGAGCTAGGACTTTGATGCAGCCTCTGAAAGAGCTTGCTGTGTCCCTAGCAAGGGTTGACTAGAGGAACATCTGATGCCTTTCACCAGGAGTGGAAACAAAGGATGTCCACTTCATTCTTTTCGTGAGGCCTTAGAGGAAATCTGTTTGCTTTGGGAGGTGAGACGGGTAATAAAATAGGAAATCTACTTTTCTTTTTTAATTATTTTTAAATTAGCATTAGGACATCATACATGACCAAAGGCAAGTACAGAGGTTATCTATAAGTGTATACGCCAGGTTGGAAATATGACTGAAAGGAGAATATGTTACTGTTTTCTGTCGCAGCATTTAAAATTGTAAAATATTCCATGTTACTGCCCCAGAATTGTTGAGCTGGGATTGTGATGCAAAATACTGCATTCGAGTGCTTTCTCATTTTTGTAGTGGAACCATGGAACACTGTTTAATCTGAGGTTACTAAGGGTCTTTTTTGCTTGTCTTTAGGATTTTCAGTTGTTTTGAGCAAGAATTCATAGATAAATAGTTTAATATAAGCAAATAAATTAATAAAGCTGACTGTCAGGGCAAAGGAATGGGACAGGTATTGGGTAGAACTTACAAACTTGTGAACAATTCTGTTCATACTGCAAAATCTGACACATAGTTTGTGTTTCATCTCATGGCAAGTGTATGATGGAGGCCAGGGGAAGCTTGGTTTCCTCCTGTCCTTCAGACTAAAGACCAGAGCTGGAGAGGAAAACTGTAGTCTTAAAGTGAAAGTTAACTTTATATTTCTTTATCACCTGTTCAGTGGCTGAGATCTACAACTGCTAACACCAAGACTGGAGTCCGTCAAGCACTACTAACTGTTGTAGGAGTATTTCTTCTGTATCTACTATTTCTCTTCTCCTAGCTGTTGCACACAGAGCTGTGCACAATTTAATCTTGAATTCAAATGGAAATCTATTTGGCTTGCAGCAAGCAGTTCTCTTTGATAATGGTGATGCTTTCCAAATAACATTTTAGAGCTCTCATTTTACCTTCGCCTGTAACCCATTCATCTCTTCTGCAAACCTTTATGTTCATATTAAATAAATATAATTCAGGGGAAAATGGATGATTATACCTTGACTGAATAGTTCTTTCAGTCTTACATACTTGGCCCTTGGAGTATTCCTTTTCTCTATCTTTCTTCTTCTCATCTTAATTGCTTTGGGTAGGTATATTTTACCTTCAAAGTGATTCTTCTGAAACAAAAAAAAAAAAGACCTGCATAATTTTGATTTTTGTCTTTAAAGAAATCATTCTGCTGGAAAGAATATTCATTTACTTCTCTGAAATATTTTCTTTTAAATTCCCTGTCCAGTCTTATTAAAGAGCTGTCTGCTCAGACTCTACCAACAGGCTAATCATTTTTTAATGCTGTCTTAACCTTCTGTTTAAAACTCTATTTTATTCAAAGCCCTGATATCTAATTGTGTTATATCAAAACCTAGAAACTATAGTCTTTTAATTCTTGAGAGATTATTATATCCAAGAGATATAATAATAACAAATTTGATTGATATTTTGGGCTTGATTCTCAGTGACACCAAAATGTGTGAAGAATATTTTAGAATGGGAATAAATGATAACATTCTGGGAAAAGGACAGCTTGCAGTATGGGACTGTTACAGGGGTGTCTTCCTTTGGAGATAAGTGAAGTATTTGTTGCTATTTTGAAGAGTCCATTTTCAAATCCTAGAAAACTATAGGGCTAGAAATGGCCTCAAGAGATCCATCCTTCTCTCCCTCTGCTTTAATATGAAGACAAACCTGTGTTCCATTCCTGATGCATACCTAGTTAGCTGGTCCTTAAAAATCATCACGTGGGAGCCCCCCCCCTCCATCTTCCTCTGCTTTTGGCTAAAATATGCCCAGCTTGTTTGGTCTTTCTTTATTGGTCATCTTCTCTTACTGCTCTTACTGACCTCTCTTCAGTTAGTTCATAACTATCTTAAGGTGCTGTCGCTGAAGCTAGGCAAGATGCTCAATGGAAGACTTGACAGTTCCTGAACCTGCTTCTCATGTTAAGTCAGCCTATGCAGTTGAGTGAAAAGCAGCAAGAGCAGCTTCAACAGCAGGCCCCCAATTTCCTGCCTCCATCTGTTTTTCTTCTTTTTCCATCGGTGTCTTGACTTATTTCTGTGCTTGAGTGGTTCACCTATTCCCATCAAGCAAAGGAAGCTCTCACCTCCCTCACTATAGCACTGTGCAGGCTGACTTCAGAGATTAACATATAGAAGGTGTTACATATCTTCATCTGTGTTTGTGGTGTCATTTTTATGTGTTTGGTTGGTTTTCCCATAAGTTTCTGTAAAAACTAGCTCAACGAATCTGAATTGCAGTTCTTGTTTAAAAACAAACCTACCAACCCAAGAAAACCTTCATTTTTGTAACTACTACTGAGGAGAAATCATGCTGTTTTTTCAATGATGTGTTAAAACAAATTTCCTTCTAGAGCAGGACATGTAGGAAGAGTAACCAAAAGGGCAAGATAACTTTTCCTTAAAGAGGCCCATCCTTGTGAGCTGTCAGTATTGGGGACAAAAGAAAGGCAGGAGAGAAGGGACAGATACCTGTGCTCTGTTCCTTTTCTTTCTCTGGCTCTACAGCCCAGAAAGGTTATTTTCCTTAGACTATATTTTCCTTTGTTAACATCAGTTCTCATTTAGAAACAAGGATTGCTGCTAAACCGTGGTTGATTGCTAAACATTTGCAGCCAATAAGAGTTAACGGTGAGTTACTGATCTTTATGGGGTTTTTGCTCTACCTTATTCTGTCTGCCTTGCCTATCCTGTTATTTCCTTGAATCGCTATGAAGCACTGTTAGCCACTTCAGAAGTTAGGTTTTTGCTTATCTGTATCACACTACAGCAACTTCTTTCTCAACGCTTTCTGGTTAAATCTTAAGGCATCGATTAACCTGTGTTTCACTGGCTTTGGTTTATATGAAGGTGAAGATGTATCCAAAACTATCATCATATTGGCACCTGTAAAAACAATCATTAGTACTTGTGTCTCAAATGCTGTTTTCCAGAGACATGTCAAATCCATTGTGTACTCAAGTTTTGCAACATTAAGAGCTTCAGGTTAAAGAGGGGAGTGGTGGGGTCTATAAGATTATTCTTTCTCTTATCCTAAAAAATACTGGCTTTTGGGGGCTCTGGTTAGTATTTCATTATATCAGATCTACAGAATCACTGTTGCTATCCTTCCAGTTTCTTTCTGTGAACGGCATAAAGTATAAGAATAGCAGTGTGAAATGCTGGGGTTTCAACCCCAAGCCCCAAATTAAGGTTGACACATGGGTGATTCCCACAGCCCTTCCCTAAGGGGGGTTGAGTTTGCCTTTAGGCTTCCCTCCAGGGTGGGGCCGGCCTGGCAGGAGGAGACATTGGGTAAATGAGCCCCAGGTGTCCAGCAGTAAGTAAGCAAAGGTCAGGTGTCCCACTGAGGGATAAAAGCTGGGACCACTTGCAGAAAGGGGTAGTGTCTGTCTGTGAGGAACTTTGCAGAGTTCCCTGTTGGGGAAGGACCTCCTGTCTCCCTGGGGCTGGGCTCCAGTCAGGTCTGGCTTTTGTAAATGTGGGCTGTATAGAGATTCAGTATGTGGCTTCCTTGGTCATGTATTTGGTTTGTTGACTCAGTTGTTTCCTGTTCCTTCTATGGGAGACTGCATGTCACCATTTATTCCACCCATTGTTGATCATGCAGTGTCATTGTTGGGGTCAGTGGGATTGATGTCAATTATGTATAATCTGAGTTGTTTGTACCCCCAGTGCTCACCCATGTACTGACCCTTTTGTATCAAATACATTTTGGTTATTGGTTCATATTTATGCTGGCTGTGCCCTTTATGCTAGGCCTAATAACTGGCAAAACACAGTGAAACTGAAAAATGGTTGTATATTTTGTTGTAGCATTTTCTACATAAAAATCATACATGAGGTCATCTTAGGTGATGCACAAAAATGCAGTTGCTACTACATAATTATTCTCTGAACTGGGTGTGCAGGGAGGCAGCTCCAAGAAGCTCTACATGTGTGTTTTAACATTAGGAACAAGTTCTGTAAACGTTTCCAGTTTACGTAGCTGCTAAATTTCAAACACAGACCTCAAAAATCATTTTAGAAGCATATTCAAGAATACAGGTTGCTACATAAAGTTTGTCTTCCAGTGACGCCTCTCTCTACCTCCAAAGATTCACTCGGAATCAATCAAGAGTATTGGTTGTACAAGGTGATGTTACTTCTTTAGCTTGCATTTAATAAACTCTTCTATGTCCTAGGCTTTGTGTTGAAAAGCTAAAGTGGAAAATAGAAATCTTAATTTTACAGATTTACAGTTTACAATTACTGACTTTCTACTTGTAAGTATCAATGAATAAATTTAGACATATCAAACTTTTCAAAGCTGACTACTCCTGAGCAGCTTCTTGTCCTTCACGTGCCTGGAAATGGTTTCCAGGGTTAGCTGCTCTGTCACCTTCCCAGGGACTGAGATGAGGCTGAGCAGCCTGTAGTTCACAGAGTCCTTCTTGCCCTTCTTGAAGACAGGAATGACATTTGCTTTCTTGCTGTCTTTGAGCACTTCTGCCAGTTATCACGATTGTTCGAAGATTGTCATGGGTGGCCTTGCAATGACTTCAGCACTCATGTGTGCATCCCATCTGGCTGCATGGACG